TAAATAGTTTTAAAAAGAGTTTCCATTTAACAAAGCAGTTTATAAATAAAATACACTTTGATCAATATCATCCCTTTCAACATTTTCATCCATCTCTCCCTTAAGTTTTTAGGATACACATTGAATTCTTGTCTGCATTCCACCCCCACCCAGCCTTCTCTTCATTCCTTTACCACTCTCCCCTTAACCTGATCCCACCCCCTTTCAAATAAGGACTTTCTGGTGTTTACTTTGTTGAACTTTGACTTTGCCTTGTAAGGAATTATCCTATTTGAAAACTCCCTTGAATCGACTACATTTCAGCTAACATCTTAGAATCTCATTAAAGCACACAGTCTAATTTTGTAGTGAAGGAGCCTAAGGTTCTTCATTTTGGACAAGTTCCCCAGTAATGTCCATATTTCTCAGTAGATAATATTTTTCACACCAAGCAGTTAGGTCTATTCCCTACGGTTTTCAATAATTATATTAATTCAGCAAATATTTATGAAGCATGCAAAATAACATTAAATGAAACATGGTGCTTTCCTTGAGGAACTTGTGGAGCACACAGCCCCATAAAGCAAGCTGAGCTGTCCGTTCATGAAGGCGCTGGCGAAAAAGATAAATAGCAGCAGGGACAACAGCGGTGGTCAGCCATATCATTCCTTTCTTTTACAAAGTTTCTAGACCAGATGTGACAATGAGTGAAAAAGCAAACAAAACCATGCCATAATCTTCTATAATCATGTCAGAGAAGAGAGAAAACAAGAACACTGCAGAGGGGAAGAGGAGGAAAATGCAGTGAAGAATTCAATGTATAGCCTACAAAATAAAGAAGAGTGAGGGAAAGGGGAAGTAAGGGATGGGTAAAAATGTTGAAAGGGGTAACATTCATCAAGATGCATTGGATTATGTCATTTGCAGGGAAATGGACGGACCTAGAACAAATCATGTTAAGGAAGGTAGTAAGCCAAGCTCAGAGACACACTTATGAGGAAGCTAGATCTAATATACCCCCAGAACGTGGTAAATTATACAGGATTCTAGACATTCACATACAGTGAGACCAAAGGAGGATATTCTTAGGAACAAAAAGATGCAATGCCTATGTGGATATAAAATAATATAAAATAAACATATAAAATATAAAATAATATTTATCAAAATGAACACCAGGATACGGAGTTTTATTGATGTTTTTGTTTCTTTTCTTTTAGTCTTGCTTGCTCATTTATCTGACCTTGGGAGTAAGGAAAGGCACAGAAATGGAGGGACAAAAGGTGAACAAATGCAGCTGTGGTACTCACTAGACACTATATTGAAAATGAACTATACAACTTGTGCATGGGGACAGGAGGGAAAAACTGAGAGAGAGGGAGGGAAGGGATGACATTGTCCAAAAATAAATTTGTATAATGCCTTTTTAATAATAAAAATTATTTTAAAAGATGTATTGTTTTCATAAATGGCAACTCCTCTGTGCAACTACTTAAAGATGTTTTTAAGCCAAAAACAGGAGAATTCTGCAAAAACTACAGCCATGACTTACAGATCAATTTTTGGTGACTGTGGTTTCTTTACTAACAGTAAAGTTTGCCTTGTTCCACCTTCTAAAATTAAAGTTATTAAAACACCAGTCATTGAATTAGGTTTGCTTCCTGAAAGTGCCCGTGATAGGCAAAAGAATGGTCTCTCTTATCCTAGGAAGCTGGAGATATTCTGTGACACAACACAAAGAATTAAGGTTGGTGTATCCAGTTGACGTGGAGCTGAGGAGTTTTCAGATGAGTCGAAGTGGCCCAGATCTAATCACATCAGTCCTTATAAGCAAAAGAGGAAGACAGAGACTTGAAGAACAAATACAAGATACCATTACTGCCATCCTTGAAGAAGGAAAAGGGACACAAACCCTTGTAGAAATCAACTCTTTAGAGCCACAGAATGAATGCAGATACACAAGCCTCTTTGTGTGTAGGGGGGGAGGGGGGAGGAGTGGTTTTCCAGATTCCTCACCCCCTTTCCTCAGAACCCATTAACTTATACTAAAGGAGAGAAAGGGTTTGTAGATGCTGTGTCATGAAGAATTGTGCCAATAATAACAGTTGCACAAAAACTGACTCAGTTTCTAGATGATGGAAAAGAGATATAGGAAAAAATACAGAAAGGAGGAGGAAAACTACTGCCATCACCATGAAAAAAGCTACAAACACAAAGAAAACCCATGGATCCCCTCTGACTCTGATAGAACTGAGAGCTGCAAAACTAAGAGAAATGCTAGAATTGGAGCCAGAACAGAAAATAAAAAGTGGGTCCAATGGAAATCCACATGAAGCACATGGACTGGAGTGGAGTGGTACTCGGGGACCATTGAGGTCAGTCTCTCTCATACCTTAAAGGAATTCTGTCTAAGGATGAAACTCTGTCACCATACAGAGTTTCAGAGCACCTTTACAATATGTCATTCTTCCATCTGAAACATGACTAAAAACCACCTCTCTGATTATCTTTGGATAATCATTTATAGCTTACTTGCTAGTAGAAAAATAGAAAAATGCCAAATGCCCTTTTAAAACTAAATCAAATAAATACTCCTGGGGATAAGGACCATGTTTTATTTATCTGTGTCCCTAATATTAAGAGGGGGCATGGTAGGAATCTGTTTAATTAGTAAATTTCCTCTTGAAGACAGCTTCTGTCACACCAGCTTATATCTGCTTAGGTATTTTTATAGGCTCAGAATTCTTAACACAGTGGCCAGAGACCAATAATTCTCGATGTATGAATAAATGGAATTTACAACAGAACAGACAAGACTTTGGCCCTATAAAGTAGAGATTTAACAACTCAAGTCAATGGACAATTCATCTAGCACCTTCTTGGAGGCAAGAGCACAATAAACATCTGACACATGAAGAAAAGGGCTTTAATTCTAAGTATTTTTTTAATTTAGTTTTGTTTTGATAAAGAAGAGGCTTTGCTCCACGCAAGGAAGCATTTGCTAAAGCGCAGGTCACATCTCATTTCAAGTGCTTTCAATGGCAACCATCCTCTGAAAAGATCAATGCTTCATTTTCATTACTAGCTCTATCATCAGAAGTGAAAAAAGGTGGGGAAATCAAATCCATTGTTGAAAAACATGCTCTGTAATTTTAATCATGGACTTCCCCTTATTAGCAAGTATCCTAGGAATTCCTAAGGATAGATCTGCACAGCTACGTCCACCAAGTTGTGCTTTTTTTGTGCATATGCACGTTTTTTTAATTTACTGTTATTGCGAACGTGATATATAGAGGGCTTAGAGTTCTGTAAGTCAGGTAATGAATACCTTTCTTTTTGGACAGTGTGATCTCTTCTCTTCCTTGCTCCCAGTTTTTCCCTCCTGTCCTCACCTACAACAAATTGTATAGTTCATTTTCAACATAGTGGCTAGTGAGTATCACTGCTGCATTTGTTCACTCTTTGTCCCACCATTCCTGTGCTCCTCCTCTGCCTGCCCCAAAACAGATAAATTTAAATATAAGCCAAAAGGTACAGGAAACAAAGCCCGCAACAAAGCAAAAATTAAAGATATACATATAACACAAAACCTCTTGGAATTCTTCCAACCATCCATGGGGTTCAAATCCCACCAGGGCTGAGATGAGGAACTGTAGAGAAGGAAATGTGAACCAACATGGAGTCATATCACTAACTCAAAGGAGAAGGAAATGTATTGTTTTAGTTTTCAACAACTCCTGTTTATAATCAACAGAGAGAAATACCAGCAATTGAGATGTTTTTTGTCATCGTGGGGGTCAGAACCTCAAGTCTTTTAACTGAATAGATAGGCGCTCTTCTGCGCGAGCCACATCCTTAGAACTTTTCATCCTTATTTTTAAGACTTCACATATTCCCCCTGGAGCTGCCTAGTCCATAATCCTCCCTTCATAGTCCCCATTAGAGCTACAATGACAGTATCTACTGTTTCTGTTGAGATGAGATCTAAAAAAATGTTTTGTCTCAGGCTGTCCTGGAACCACAGTCCTCTCGATCTCAGCCTTCCACACAGCCGCAATGACCAGACACTGCTCTCAAACCCAGCCCTTGGTTGACATGGGGGTCTTTGTGAACATTTACCTGAGTCAGTCTTGAGCCATGTTCCTCCCTATCACGGCCTCTGGAAAACCAAGGTTACAAGTGTGAGTCCCTGGCCAGCTCACTTAAATAAATGTTTACAATTGAAATCTCAATGTAAAAGAAAACATGATCAGCACCCCCTTTTCCTGGTTGCACAGTATAAAAATGTGGTTAAAATTAGCCATTACAACTGGGTACTGGTAGCTCATGCCTATAATCCTAGCTACTCAGGAGGCTGAGATCTGAGGATCACAGTTCAAAGCCAGCCCAGGCAGAAAAGGCTGTGAGACTCTTATCTCCAATGAACCACCAAAGAAGCCAGACATGGAGCTGTGGCTCAAGTTGTAGAAGGCTAACCTTGAAAAAGAAATGCTCAATGGTAACACCCATACCTGAGGTCAAATCCCAGAGCCAGCACCTCCCCTCAAAAACCGGTAATTATCACAAATGAGAACTTGATTAATTCAAGACCATGAAAACACAGTAAAATAAGTAACCAAGACCAAAAATACGTGTGCTGAATGAAATCCATTTATTAGGAGACTCACAGGAAAACCGATTCCTACCCACACTCAACTTGAAATGCTGACGTTGAAGGTAGTAACGGAGGAGCAGAGCAACACTAAGGAATAAGGCTAAAGTTCCAATATATAATCCTCTGGGGGGTGGGGGAGGGAGGGAGGGAGGGAGGGAGGGAGGGTGCAGATTGCACTTGGTTTGGTCTCAGGATTCTGGGTGATTTGCTCTTCATCATGGAAGAGCAGGACCACGGGTCAGAAGTCACTCTCGTCCAATCCCACGTGGAGGTCAGGCGGGGAGACAGCCATGGTTCTTCAGGTGGCTCTTGGCTTCACAGCTCTGGGGGGGGGGGGATTCCTGTCGTCATCGGAGCCCTGGGTCCTTCAGTAGGTGCTGTAGCCGAAGCCAGAGCCAGACCCCCAGGGCCTGTAAAAGCTACTGCCATAGCAACAGCCGTTGTTGAAGTTGCCACCGCCAAAGCAGTGGTTCCGGGAGCTGTAGATGGAGGCGCAGCCGTGGTTCAGGGGAGAGCCCAGGGGAATGACGCAGTTGAGGGGGGTGGCTCTGTAGTTCCCGTGGAAGTTGGTTCCATAGCAGGGGTAACCTGGAAAGTAACTTCCGCAGCAGAAATAGCGAGTCATGGTGGCAGGTGTTGGGAGGGATTCGGCTAGACTGTGCAGAGTGAGGTACTCGAGTTTTGAATGAAGGTCTCCTCCTGCCCAGGGCTTTTTATACCTGGAGCTGATGCACCTGGCAGCCACCAATTTGCATAAGTAATGCCATTATTTCCTAATAAAGCGCATATCTAGAAACCCACAGATTTTTGTGGGATTTTTCTTTTCTGTTTACAAAGAATGGCACCCTCTCTTCAAAGCCAGTAATCATCCTAGACTTGTCACTGAATTCTTTTCATCAGTGGGCCCTTGTTTAACTGCCATTCTCCTTGCATCATGTAAGAGACTCTATCATTGGAGACTCTAAGCCCTCTGCTTATAAACTCCTCCCAACTGGCATAGCTAGGCTAGAGAGAGGGAGAGAGGGAGAGAGGGAGGAGGGAGGGAGAGCTTTGGTAAGAATGTACACACTTCAGTTGGAGTCAAGGCCATTGACTCTGAGCTCTTCTGACATAATGTCGTTTTGAAACTTAGGCTGCAATTCTATAGACCCTTCAAAATTAATTCAATGTATCAATCCAAAACACTGGTATGCCAAATTATTTATGGGTAGAGAGTTTTCTTTTTGGACTTAGTGAGGTCATTTATACAAAATATCATGAATGTCTAAAGACTACTGAATCATTAGCTATTAAATGGCTTGTTTGGGGCTATGTAAATATCACTTCAACAAATTGGATGTTTTTTTAAAGCATTGCTACAAAGAAACATCAGATCTAGTCTTCATGAGGAAGTTGCATGGGTACCATGTAAAATGGCTAGAGACAATTTACTAGTAATTTTCTTCTCTTGTGTTTATGAGCTTCATCTCTGTCGGCACACATTTCATTTTTTATAGCAATCATATGATCTTCAGATGTAAATTATCTTGGACATTGCCAAACTATCTTCTTGTGGAGTTGTCACACTCCTACCAAGTGGAATGATGCCCAGTTTCAAAATCACATTATACCTTACTGGCTCCTGGAAAAAAAATAAGGCTGAATGTCTACTATAAAATAAAAATGATGTTTAGGAGTTCAGTGCTCCATCTTGGCCCTGTTTTTCCCTGTGCGATGATTTATCATGCAGATGTTAAACCAAGAAGAACTGGAGCTCAGAAACAAAAAAAAACCTATTCCAGGTTAAATATGTAGGAGGAAATCTTTTTCACCTGTGAATAAAAAAATCTTAATTCCCTGAAAGTAAGAAAAGTTTCCATGTATAAAGTCATCTTGTGCTGGGCGCCAGTGACTCATTCCTGTAATCCTAGCTACTCAGGAGGCTGAGATCTGAGGATCGAGGTTCAAAGCCACCCCTGGCAGGAAAGTCCATAAGACTCTTATCGCCAATAAAAAAAAAAAAAACACTAGAAAACCGGAAGTGGTACTGTGGCTCAAGCGGTAGAGCATTTGCCTTGAGCTGAAGAGCGTAAGGACAGTGCCCAAGCCCAGAGTTCAAGCCCCACGATGGATAAAAAATAAAATGTCATCTTGCTTACTTATCCTTGATGGACAAATACAGAGTCAGATAGGGAAACTTAATTAATCCCATTGGACATCTCTTCATTAAGCTTTTACCTCCAAGGGCACCTGACAAAGGAGCTGCCTATAAAAATTCATTAAGTTGATATGACTTCTTTACCTTTACAAATGTACTGTGTTGTGAGAGTTTATAGCTATGAAGAACCAAAAGTCAAAATCTATTCTCAAATTCAATTTTTAAACTAAACGAATAAATGTAAATGGCATTGTCAGCTCAAGGGTATGAATTATAGAGATGATGTATCAGCTGCTACATAAAATTAAAAAAAATAGGAACAGGTGAGAGGAATCATGACTGAATTAATTGTAACTGCTGACCAGTTTGCCAAAAATGTCTGGTTCTATCAGGCAAAAACACTGGAACCTGTAATTTGGACATGTTGCCACAAGGTGGCAATGGTATTTTTGCTGCCAACCAGAAGATAAGACTTGAGGTTGGCAAATGTTAAGAAGAATATCCTGGTGGAGACATAGAATTCCATTGTATATATATACCACATTTTCTAGATCCATTCATCTACTGAAAGGCATCTTTATTTGAAATTCAGAACTCCAAGAGCTGTCCTCTCCCACCCTCACCAGTTGAGTCTGGAAATCTTTGTGTTTTGTTTTTTTTTAATGAGTATCTCATGGTGATTCTCATGAATAAACCATCTTGATAAATACCAGCGCCAATCTTTCATGAGATGTCAAGCAAGCTGCCTTTGAGCTTGACTGTTTGCACTCACCCTGAGCTGCTTATCTCCCATTGGCAGGAGTGTTCTGCTTCAGTTACAGATGACCTATTTCCTTTGACTCTGGGTGACAGAGATAAGGAAAGAAAATGCCTTGGTTTGTCTTCCCATTTCCCCGCGCTCAGCACTTCTTGTCTGATTAGACAGAGAGGGCAAAAGTTAAGTGTCCAGTGCTTTTCCCATTTCAGGAACAGCCTACCTAAAGAGTGTCTGGTTTTGTTACCCTAGATCAGGAAAAAAAATATACATAGAGATATACGTATATAAATATATGTCTCCCTTGTTTTTATTTTCTTCTTTCCTCTCAGACTTCCTGGGAAGAAATTCTAAACCAAGTACTTGATTATTTAATAATTATATATATAATATATTATATATAATTTATATATATGGTGTGGGGCTTGAACTCTGGGCCTGGGTGCTGTCCCTCAGCTCTTCAGCTCAAGTCAAGTGTTCTATCACTTGAGCCACGGTGCCACTTCCAGTTTTCTGGTGGTTCATTGGAGATAAGAGTCTCACAGACTTTCCTGCCTGGGCTGGCTTTGAACCACAATCTTCAGATCTCAGCCTCCTTGGTAGCTAAGACTACAAGCATGAGCCGCCAGCACACAGCTTCATATTTTAAATATTAGTAATTATATATACCCACACTAGGCTTGTTCTATGTGAAGTTGTACTCTGAACAGTCCAAGCACTTTTCAGTGATTCATTTTTCCATATTTAATATGTGTGTGTGTGTGTATGGGACTTTTGGTGCCCTCACCTAAGCACTTGGCAGAGAGCTGGTTTTTTATTTGGTGTCATGATCTTATGATGTGGATATGTGATTAGAAAACTGGTTCCAGAAAGCTTCAGCAAGTTTCCCAATAGCACTGGTTCATAGTCGGCAGGATCAAGCTCCTAGCAATGCTATCAGGCTCTGAACATGTGCTTAACTGCTTTACTATGCTACCATCAAAATGCCATTAAAACTTTTAACAGCTTTGGCTTCTAAAATGTTTCGGGTATACAATTGGCTGTGCTGTTCTCTGAAGGAGCATATCAGCCAGGAAAGACTAGTCATAGCCTCTGAAGCAAGCAACCAACAACCCCCATGCTTTGAAAGATCAAAGGTTTATTTCATGAACGCACTGCACGTCTTTTCAGACTGATGGATGTCTCTAGTTTACATAATGCTCAACTAAAGACCTAAGGTGACTGAGCTTCATTGATCTGAACTAGCCCATGCTGGGAAAGAAAATGTAGCAAATCACACTCGCACACACATACACACATGCGCAATCACACAAAACACAAACTCCTAAAGACAGTTGGAAATATCACACCGCGTTACTTCCACACTCCTTTCATTTACTATATAAAACGAATTGTGTGTCCACACCTCAATTTCCAGTTTAGACAGTGCAACCTTACTATTTACCCAGAAGAAGAAATTTCACAAGTTGCAGAATAACATTCATAAATTCCACTAAGAGTTTAGATTCTTCACAAAGACTAAAAGAACTTTAATATCTTTTAAAGGAAGGCAGAGCAAGATGGTGGAGTAGAGGAGCCCAAGGCTTGTCTCTTCCTCAGACGCAGAAGAAGAAAACACAATGGTATTATAATCAGAGAACCCGGGAGAGGGTGCTGGAGTGCACCCCAAGAGTGGTAGAGACCTGAGTAGGCAGACTTGGAAAGCCCACATGAAAAAGGAAACAAATTTCTCCCCCACTGTGGAGAGGGAGTACTACAGGAAAAGGTGAAGGAAAGGCATCTGGTGCTCTCCACCAAATGCTTGGACACTCGAGTCATTGGAAAAGAAAGAGCAAGCAAACCACAAGTACAACCAACAAGAGAAGGAAAACGTAAACATTCTACAAAAGAAAAAAAAGGCAACAATAATAAGATGGCAGGAAGCATAAGCACTTTCTTTTCAATAATAACTTTGAATGTAAGTGGATTGAATTCTTCACACAAGAGGCATAGGGAGTTTTCATAGTGGAATAAAGAAAGCACAACTCTACGCTGTCTACAAGAAACTCAATTCATTGGTAAAGACACAAATGGACTGGTAGAGATAAGAAGGAGTGAAGATATTCCTCAACAGTAGTGTTCACATGGTTGGACTGTTCCAAGGAAGGTACCACATGGTGCCCACTCCCTTATCACCCAGATGGCTCCTATACACCGCCATCATGAGATTAGAGCCATGGCTAGAAGGCTGCCCTGCCCCAGTACCAGTGCTTCACCTCCTCTTTCAAGCTGTCCTGATGTAAGTGGTCTTAGTGCTATGACCCTGTATGTGGGGTGTGTAAACTTCATAGAACAGCAAGACCCTGCATCAGGACCTGCATGCTGCCCTATCCCCAGCCGGAAGAAGACTATGACTCAACCAGCCCCACATGACCATGAGTCTGTAGGAGTCTTACCCTCATGCAGAAGACAAGACTGTACTCAGTGGACACAGCCAGCTCCTCACCAGAACCCAGTGTGATGGGTGGGTCACATGGACTCAGTAAAGAGTTCCCTCTGCATTTCCATGGCCCTACTGTGGAGGAGAGGCTACTACCCTCAACCCACCATGACACAGCCATGACACAGAGTCTTGCAGCATTCACTGACTTGCCAATAAGGCCTGGAGCTAAAGAAATCAAATAACCACTGTACACCTACCTGAAACCAAACCTAGCATGTCCTACACAACCAGTGCCTTCACACTCATCCATCA